TACCTTTATCTAAATACTGTTCACATATATGCTTCAATGTAAACACTTGATCTACACATCCCCTACCCACTCTGAAGCCTCCCTGCTCATCCGCAATCCTACATTCTGTCTTACCTCTAATTCTTTCAATTATAACCCTACCGTATACTTTTCCTAGTATACTAAGTAAACTTATTCCTCTATAATTTTTACAATCTCTTTTGTCCCCTTTCCCTTTATATAAAGGGACTATACATGCTCTCCGCCAATCCCTAGGTACCTTCCCCTCTTTCATACATTTATTAAACAAAAGTACCAACCACTCCAACACTATATCCCCCCCTGCTTTTAACATTTCTGTCATGATCCTGTCAGTTCCAGCTGCTTTACCCCCTTTCATTCTACATAATGCATCACGTACCTCCACCACACTTACATTCTGCTCTTCTTCACTCCTAAAAGATGGTATACCTCCCTGGCCAGTGCATGAAATTACCGCCTCCCATTTTTCTTCAACATTTAAAAGTTTCTCAAAATATTCTCGCCATCTACCTAATACCTCCCTTTCCCCATCTACTAATTCCCCTACTCTGTTTTTAACTGACAAATCCATACTTTCCCTAGGCTTTCTTAACTTGTTTAACTCACTCCAAAATTTTTTCTTATTTTCATTAAAATTTCTTGACAGTGCCGTGCCTCTCCCACTCTATCATCTGCTCTCCTTTTGCACTCTCTCACCACTCTCTTCACCTTTCTTTTACTCTCCATATACTCTGCTCTTCTTATAACACTTCTGCTTTGTAAAAACCTCTCATAAGCTACCTTTTTCTCTTTTATCACACCCTTTACTTCATCATTCCACCAGTCACTCCTCTTTCCTCCTGCCCCCACCCTCCTATAACCACAAACTTCTGCCCCACATTCTAATACTGCATTTTTAAAACTATTCCAATCCTCTTCAACCCCCCCACTACTCATCTTTGCACAAGCCCACCTTTCTGCCAATAGTCGCTTATATCTCACCCGAACTTCCTCCTCCCTTAGTTTATACACTTTCACCTCCCTCTTAATTGTTGTTGCCACCTTCCTCTTTTCCCATCTACCTCTTACTCTAACTGTAGCTACAACTAAATAATGATCCGATATATCAGTTGCCCCTCTATAAACATGTACATCCTGGAGCCTACCCATCAACCTTTTATCCACCAATACATAATCTAACAAACTACTTTCATTACGTGCTACATCATACCTTGCATATTTATTTATCCTCTTTTTCATAAAATATGTATTACTTATTACCAAATTTCTTTCTACACATAGCTCAATTAAAGGCTCCCCATTTACATTTACCCCTGGCACCCCAAATTTACCTACTACTCCCTCCATAACATTTTTACCCACTTTAGCATTGAAATCCCCAACCACCATTACTCTCACACTTGATTCAAAACTCCCCACGCATTCACTCAACATTTCCCAGAATCTCTCTCTCTACACTTCTCTCTTCTCCAGGTGCATACACGCTTACTATAACCCACTTTTCACATCCAATCTTTATTTTACTCCACATAATCCTTGAATTTATACATTTGTAGTCCCTCTTTTCCTGCCATAGCTTATCCTTCAACATTATTGCTACTCCTTCTTTAGCTCTAACTCTATTTGAAACCCCTGACCTAATCCCATTTAATCCTCTCCATTGAAACTCTCCCACCCCCTTCAGCTTTGTTTCACTTAAAGCCAGGACATCCACGCACATTCAGACTTCCCACTTTGACAATTTTCTTCTTCTTATTCTTTTTAGTAATCTTTACAGGAAAAGGGGTTACTAGCTCATTGTTCCCGGCATTTTAGTTGACTTTTACAACACGCATGGCTTACGGAGGAAAGATTCTTATTCCACTTCCCCATGGATATAAAAGGAAAAGTAATAAGACCAAGAACTATTAAGATAAAATCAAAGAAAACTCAGATGAGTGTGTATAAATAAACGTGTACATGTATGTGTAGTGTGACCTAAGTGTAAGTAGAAGTAGCAAGACATGCCTGTAATCTTGCATATTTATGAGACAGACAAAAGACACCAGCAATCCTACCATCATGTAAAACAATTACAGGCCCTCGTTTTACACTCGCTTGGCAGGACGGTAGCACCTCCCTGGGCGGTTGCTGTCTACCAACCTATTTTTTCCGTTACATCAGACAGCAATATTTCAATGAACTGGTAATTAACCAATACAGTGGAACCCCGAATCTCAGCCACTGCGTTTATCGGTCAAATCGTATTTAGACTGGTTTTGGGGCCAAAATTTTGCTCCATATTTCGGCCGGTGCCTCGCAAATCAGCCATATTATACGTGTCAGCCTGCATATAATACGCGGGGATGCCGCTGCGTAGGCGAGTCAGTCTCCCTGTGTCTCTCGGTGAATGAGCATTTACAGTGGACCCCCGGTTAACGATATTTTTTCACTCCAGAAGTATGTTCAGGGGCCAGTACTGACCGAATTTGTTCCCATAAGGAATATTGTGAAGTAGATTAGTCCATTTCAAACCCCCAAACATACACGTACAAACTCACTTACATAAATACACTTACATAATTGGTCGCATTCGGAGGTGATCGTTATGCGGGGGTCCACTGTACGTACTCCATGCATTCATCCAAACATTTCCATAAAATCCATTGGTTTCTGTGCTTGTTTATTAAGTGTGACTGTGAAATAAGCCACATGGGTCCATAGAAAGTTCCTAGTAAGGTTCCTTTGGTAAAGAAAGTGAGAAACATGATGGAATTTAACCCTTTCAGGGTCCAAGGCCCAAATCTGAAGTGGTGCCCCAGTGTCCAAGAATTTAAAAAAAAAAAAATTGTTATTTTTTCTTATGAAATGGTAGAGAATCTTTTTGTGAAGGTAATAAAACAAAAAGTACGAAATTTGATGGAAAATTGACAAAATTGTGCTCTCGTGAATTTTGATGTGTCAGCGATATTTACGAATCGGCGATTTTGCCGATTTTGACTCCCATTTTAGGCCAATTACATTATTCCAGTCGACCAAATTCTTAGCTATTTCACTAGTATTACTTCTATTCTATCGATTGAGCACAAGAAATCGCCAAGTCAACCATTTCAACTACAAAATAAAGTGACCGGAAATTGGTAATTTGGCCAATTTAACACAAAGTTCAAAATATTCCAATTTCAAAATAGGGTCCAGAATAAACAATGTAGGTATTCCTGGCACTAAACTAACATTTCCTCTGTTCATTAGTTATGTTTTGAGGCTTTAAAATAAATTCCATTTTGAATTTTTATTCACATAATGAATTTTTATTCACACCAAAAAATAGAAGATTTACTGTTATGCAATATTGTAATAATTGTATAAATATCATCACCACATTTGTGAATGTATATTAGACCCACCAGCTGGCGTGTATAAGACGCGTGAGGTCGTTTGTTTACTCTTGAACATCGGCAAAAATTTAACATTTCCGCCACTTTGAGCTCAGTTTCAAGCCATTTCCAGTGCTAACACCAATCAAAATTATCTCTATTTCTGTGATGTGTCTTCCATTCTATCAAATGAGACCAAGAAATCACAAATACAACTATAAAAAACATACGAAAAAACACTGCAAAGTCGCTGTTTTAATCGAAAATCACGGTCTCAGTTTTTTTGTCTCTCATTATACACAGTGTGCTGCAGGATTTGTTTTATGTGGTGCACACATACCACATAGATGTATTCTCTCATATCTAGGCCCAAATTTACCACTCACAGTTTATCAGAGTGAGCTGAGCTCATGACGTAGATCTACGGTTTGGACCCTGAACGTAAAGCCGTAGATCTACGGGACGGACCCTGAAAGGGTTAAGAAATAAGTTATTGAAAAATAGGAGAGTGGTGTTTGAGTGCTAGAACTTGCCAGGATGTATGGGAAATCCAAATCAACAATCAATTCCATCCTGGCAAAGAAAGTAGAAATCAAGGAAGTTAATGTTGTGAAAGGGAGTTTAGCAGGGAGTGTAGCAGGAAGGCAGGGAGTGTAACAGGCATGGGGGGAGTGCAGTGGGGAGGCAGGACCCCAATGGAAATATGCCACTCTGACTTTTTTGGGTTATCCTAGGTTCTTTACACATATGCTGTGGAAAGGAGGCAAGGAGTGTAGCATGGAGGGAGGAAGTGTAGCAGGGAAACAGGAAGTGTGGAAGGGAGGCAGGGAGTGTAGCAGGCAGGCAGGGAGTGTAGCAGGCAGGCAGGGAGTGTAGCAGGCAGGCAGGGAGTATAGCAGGCAGGCAGGGAGTGTAGCAGGCAGGCAGGCAGGCAGGCAGGGAGTGTAGCAGGCAGGCAGGCAGGGAGTGTAGCAGGCAGGCAGGCAGGGAGTGTAGCAGGCAGGCAGGCAGGCAGGGAGTGTAACAGGCAGGCAGGCAGGCAGGGAGTGTAGCAGGCAGGCAGGCAGGCAGGCAGGCAGGGAGTGTAGCAGGCAGGCAGGCAGGGAAGTAACCCCAGAGAGGGCTTTGATACCTGAAGTCCTTATGGAGAGGGATTCCCCTCCCAAACAATAATCAGTTCTCCCTCTCTCCTCCTCCCTGTCTTCCATAAGCCAACAAGAGTTTTCAATAAAGGTATGTAATAGCAATTTAAATGTTCATTTACTTATTTTATTTAGCTCTCATTGTTTTGTGTATGTAAAACTATAATTAATCTTTAAAAAATGTATTTTTGTTAATATTTTTGGGAAATATTGCTTCGAGTTTAGGCCTTTTCAAATTTTGGCAGACCTTCTGGAACAGATTACGGCCAATATTTGGAGTTCCACTGTATAACTTAGAAGGGAAATGACTTTTAACTATGAAGACTCTTAATCCAAGGAGTTTGAGCTAGCCTTTCCTTCCTCAGATCAAACCTAGTTAGCCTGACCCCTCATTCCCCAGGCACTGTATGGCCCTTGTGGGTTTCAGTCCCTCCCCGTGAATAAAAAGTTTAATAGGCAGGAGAATCTTATAAAAAGCCCAAAAGAATGTATGTTTATGATGAAGCCATACAAGTATTTGGAAGTAAAACTTATAAATAGAAGATCAAGATAAACACAGAAAAATATAGAATTATAATGTTAATTACAATAGCACCTGCATATTTCATGTGAATGAGTGAATTTTAATGTGCCAAGACTGATCTTGAATCTCTACTTGTCTCATTAATGTATTTCACTTCTCAACACAATCATTACCACATACAAACAGACAATCTCTTGCTACAGACAATCTTTTGCTTTGTAGACTACAATAAGGTTTAAATTAACATCTACAAGTATTTCAACAATTTTCTCAATAAAAATAATGTATCGGCCAAACGAGGAATGTTTTCTTGGAAATGTTACTTCTTGAAAATGATAATTCTCATTATATTACAGCATTTCAGATGGAGGCTTAATGTGGGATGCCAGTAGAGGTCACTACAGTGCTTTCATAGGCATATTGTGGTATGCTAGGTCATAATGCTTTAGAGAGGAGGTTTAGTTTGACATACCAGTAAAGGTTGATAGACCTAGTATAGTATGACAGCATAGTTGGGTAGTTTAAGTCCAGAGAACATAAATCTTAAGATAGATAGCCTCTGTTTAACATGATTAGTAAAAACATTTATAATAAAATTAACTATCAAATGCATTTTAAAAAGGAAAATTATGCTATGACTGGTGTCTCTACTTCTCATGTGTTATATTTACTGCATTATACTGTACTGTACTTATTTCATCTAATATGGAGGAGTCAGTTATAGTAATATTTTAGAGATCTGCAGAACAAAGGAGGCAAATAAGCCTTCCAATTATCAATAACACATTTTCATCTGATACATCCAATAACAGCAGCATGTGGGTTCATCACAGTGTCATCATAAAAGAAAAAAGTACACTCGTAGAATGAAACTTTCTTCTTCGACCATCTGCTTGAGAACACAAACATGATCACCTCCATCGCAGTCACTTGCACAGTCAGAAGTAGCAACTTTAATCTGCTTGCCTTTGGTGACAATGACTTTGGGATAAAAAATTAAATCTATTCATAATATATCATACATCATTTACAAAACCCCAAGACTGATGGTCTTGCAGTCTATCAATCATTCAGACAGTAGCATGGACCATATTTCAGCTAAATATACTTTTCACTCCTCACTTTCTACATAAGTTATGACTAGAACACATTAGCATCATCGTATGTTAAGTACAAATGGAGGGACTTCATAAGATGTAAGTATCATCAAATGTTCATGTCCCTATGCTTGGGCACCCGGATGCTCATATGCAAGGAATTACCACGAATAAAATGGGCAAGTGCTGATCTGTCAATATTGCCGTGTCTGGGTAATGTAAGGTCACAGTGTAGCACATCCTCAGCTTCATCCTCCAACACACACTCATCATCTAAAGTTTCATGAGCAAGGTCCAGCCTAGAAAGTGTGAGATTTGTCCTCGATCCTCGTAGATCTGTTCTGGAGGCTCGCAATTCACTTTTGGATGCTCTTAAATCTGACTTTGAAGCACGTAAGTCTGATTTTGAAGCTCGAAGGTCAGACCTCGAGGCTCGAAGATCAGGTTTTGATGCTCGAAGGTCTTGTCTTGATGCTCTTAAATCAGCTTTAGAAGCCCTCAGATCAGATTTAGAGGCTCGTATATCTGATTTTGAAGACCTTAAATCAGATTTTGAAGCCCTCAGATCTGATTTTGATGCTCTTAGATCAGATTTAGATGCCCTTAAGTCTGACTTTGATGTGCAAAGATCATTTCGTGACCCTCTAAGGTCAACTTTAGAGCCTCTGAGATCAGCCTTAGAGCTTCTTAATTCAGAATTTTTGGGAACTTTTTTCACAGTAAGTTGTGTTATTGCTCGTGACACAGACCCATTACATAATTTCTCCCACGGTTTTGCAACTGAACATAAGGTAGCTGGATCAATCTGAGTGAGAGAAGGCCTACGTCCACCTAGATCAGCATAGTCATCCCAGGATACAACACTGGCCGCATCTCCACCATCATATGAATCCGAGTGACATAATCTTTGACTTTCAACACGTGATTCTTCACAGTCATGGCAGGATACTCCACTATCTACATCAGAGTCCCGTGTAAGAATACCCTCTTCAACTAATGGTCGTTGGGTTTCAGCCAGCGGTCTGACAACATCATGAAATTGTCGTGCAGCTTCGTGAAGGTAACGAGGATCATCTAAGACAAGAGATGCACGCCTAGTGGCACGTATAGGCTGATGGTGGCGAAGAGATCGTAATGTCTCCTCCATATCAACACTGAGATGGTTACCTTTGCTAGATTTCCGTCGTGTCAGAGTAGAAATGCTGCTCAATGGCATTTGCTGTCTATTCTGCTTTTGCTGATGTTGCTGCTGCTGTTGAAGTTGTTGCTGCTGTTCTTCAGGGATAGTACAGTGACAGAGTGGTGGAACAACCAGGGTGCTGTAGCCCTCTGTAAATGTTGGGCTGCTGCTTGAGTCACTTGAATATGCTGAGTCTGCATGGTCGGCTTCGGGTAATGGATATAAATGTTCGTTAGGAGCAGGATATGGTGAACGATAATCATGGGCATCGAAAACATTATGGTAATTTGTTGGCTCTTCCTCTTGTGTTTCATATGATTCTGCAATGATGGACGGACGCAATGGAGGCAAAGGTGTAGACATCCATGTGTGGTTAAGGCAATCATCTACTGTCATTCTGTCACTGAAATAAATTAATTTTATTATAATATATGAACAACTAAAAAAAAGTCACAAAGTACACATGGCCAAGAAATATACTGTATACAGAAGTGTAATGATTGATGTAAACTTATAGGTTATCTTTTCCCTCACTCATTTAGTAAACTACACTCCATCATATAACAAGGAACAAAAGAGGCTTTTGAGTAATATGTGAGGCTCATTTAAGGAAGCTGTGATGCTAGGGAATGAATAATATTGACTGTGTTTTAGTTTGGGTTGTGAAGAAAGGACAGACATTGATGAACAAGTTTTTACCAAGAAAATGTTTCACTGCGTAAATCCATACAGAGTGTACAGTGCTGTCCCAATTAAAGCTTGTTCGGTAACATGGTCTTTTTTTCACTATTGTCGGCATTTGGATCCAATTAATTTAGGTCACTCTGATTTGGTAGGAAATGGCTGCTGTGTAAAAAAGAAATAATATAACAGGAAGCCTAACAAATTAGTTACAGGTAATATGTAATAAAGAACAAAAAGGCACAATACTGTGACTGGAACAATACATAAATAACCTGCACTTAGGAGAAAGAAACTTATCATGACGTTTCAGTCTGACCTGAGCCACTGACTAGTAAATGGTTCAAGTTAGACCCAAACATCGTCATGAGTTTCTTTCTCCTGTGTGTGGGTTATATGTATAATATGTAATAATACTAGTAAAGCACACACCTTGGCTTTTTGACAAGAAGGCCACAGATGAAGTCTTTTGCTTGATCAGAGATGTCTGCAAATAATTCTTCAGGAAAATCAAATTCACCTTGAGTGATATTGACAAATGTTTCCTGGTCAGTGTCTCCTCCAAATGGTGTACAGCCAGTTAGAAAAACATACGTGAGTACGCCAACAGCCCTGTTAAAAACAATTTACAAATTATTATAGTAAGCTACCACAGAACAACAAATAATATGCATAATGCACATAACTGCATATCAGTCTGCAGTTGTCCCTCCAAATCAATGGGGTTCTTTATTTGTGGACTTTGATTCAACTGTCTCACTGATGGGCAACCAGCAAATAGGTAGGTTCAATTATCCAAAGTTTCTCTAGTTCAATGACTTTCCTATGACCAAGTCTCTTTTTTGCTCTGGTCAGTATTAACACAAGATGAACCCAACAAACTTATGTTGTTATGAGCTATTTACAACAGGCAAAGTCAGGGCATATTTTCAGAATGGGTGGTGATATGCAACTGTGGATGAAATACAGTACAGTGGTATCTTGAATTTCAAACAGCTCCCAGCTCGAACAATTATGTAAGCATATTTTTGTAAGTGCTTTTGTAAGTGTATTTTTGGGGGTCTGAAATGGACTAATCTAATTTACATTATTCCATATGGGAACAAATTCATTCGGTATCGGCACTCGAACAGCCTTCTGGAACGAATTAAGTTCGTAAATCAAGGTACCACTGTACCTTTCTAATGAATTTCAATATGTATGTCATTAGAGTAAAATTTAAGAAAATATGATCACTTGAAATCTATGAGCAGTGACATAAGTCATACATTAGAGAAAATTATTGGAACTGAGTTCTAGCCACCACTAAATCTGCTATACAATATATTCAGTTTTGTATCTGAATTAATAGTATTTTCTAGACTTTTGACCACTTCATTTTTTTATTAGCTGATGCCTCTTTGGTATTCATGTTAAATGGCATAAATAATAACAGTACTGAAGAACACAACGAAAGCCACATAATCTAGGCACAAACTAGGCACAGAAAGGAGCTAATCATGTAGTGGTTAGCTTGGTCACTACATGTATTGGTCATTAATCAGGAAAATGGTTGTTAATATCTGATTTTCTTTCTTTTTGGGTCACCCTGCCTTGGTGGGAGACAGCCGACTTGTTAAAAAAAAAAAAAAAAATTAGGACAGATACATTTAACAAAAGGAGATCTTTTTATTTATTTATTATCACCTTCATGAGGCTTTATCATGGACAGTTTGGTAAAGGAGAGAACCATATATACAGCATCATCTTTTCGGTGTTCCACATTTTTGTTGGTTTCAAACTGAGCCATTGTTCATTATGTTCCACCTGCTGGCAATTTTTGCTGGAGGATGGGGGCACATAATGAACAATGGCTCAGTTTAAAGCCAACAAAAACATGGAACACCAAAAAGAGGGTGCTGTATGCATGATGACCTCTTGTAATTCATGAACCCTCACGTATGTGAAATGTCATAATAAAAAAGTTGCCTTCTGCTATATGTCATTTTAACCCCTTGTTGCTATGCCATACTCCAACAACAGGTTCAGTAGTACATACTATAAAAATTAAGGTCATCTTAAAAGCTGAATGAAACTTACCACATATCAGTTGAAAGGCTGATTGGTTCAAAGTTAATCACCTCAGGAGCTGTAAAAAAAAATTGAAACAGTCAACTACAGAGTACTTGAGGTATTTATACTATATAGGGTAGGACATATATTTTGAAAATTTTAGTCTAATCAGTGCCTGTATTGCTATAATACACATACTATATAAAAAATGTACATGCACATATGTGAAGATTCTCCACAACTTAAAGCCTTATTAGCCAAGATTTAAAAATTACTCAATATAGCAGAAAACTTTTGCAAACAGATTATTCAAGCTCCAAGTGACCAAAAGTGCTTGCCAATATTTTGGTAGATTTTTTCTAAAAACTTCTGAATTTAAAAAAATAAAAAAAAACTTGTACTGAAGAATGATAATTAATCCTTTAACTGTCCAAACATAGATCTACATTTATGCGCATAGTGCTCCGACTTTGATTTCCTCCATTTGAAAGCATGTAAAAAAAAAAACGTAATCTACGTTCGGAGTGCTACACGAGCAAACGTAGATCTACGTTTGGACAGTTTAACCCTTAAACTGTCCAAAATTAGATCTACGTTTGCATGCGTAGCGCTCCGACCTTGATTTTCTCCATAAGAAACAATGTAAAAAAAAAAAAGGTAGATCTACGTTCGGAGTTTTACCGACAAATGACAATGTTGGGGGGAGCGCTATACAAACGTAGATTTCGTTTGGATTTTTTAAAGGGTTAATAAAAAATTATTCCAAGTACTGTAAAATAAAAAAAAACTGTCTTAATTGTATAAAAAAATTTTAAATAAAAATTTTCCCCACTTCAAAACTTACCATAATGACAAAATGATGAAATATTGAAAATTTAAAAAAATATACCAGTGCATAATATCTTTGTAGGTTTCGAAAAGAGTCATTCATAAAGAAACAAAAAGACCACTGAGAGGGCCCCACAGGTACATGCAGACAGCTGATAAAAATGTGTTTGCAAGGTAGGGACAAAACAAAAACAAAATTTTTAAAACATACAAATAAATAAAAAAGAAAAATGACACCTTTTTACAAAACAGAAATTTGTATCCCATGTGCCCCATCGGGGAAACTAAGGGAATTGTACATTAATTATACCCCTATTTTTTTTGGAAATATTTTACATACAGTGAGCCCCGTTTTTTGGGCCATTCCGTTATCCCAAATCTATGGGCCTTTTTTTTTGGCTTCGGTATGGCTGTTATTTACTTTCAGCCGATTGGACACTTATCACCGGCGATGCCACTTTTCCCCGATCAGTGTAGCTAACCACTAAAAGAGCTGAAAGGGGCTTCATCTAACAGCAATAGAGCACACTCAGGAATTTGCTTCAGAGGGGAGAAAGGGGATGAAGGGGGTCCCTTTCTTCAGAGTTTTAAGGGATTGTGAATGGGGACTAGGGGTGCAAGCTTTTACTGAGAAATATCCCCCTGACCAAGTGAAAACTAATCTGCGACATTTTCATGACAGAACCTGTCCCACTTCGGGAAAAATTTTAAAGGACCCAGAAAAAAACCTCTGGACAGAAATTTTGGCGACGGGATCCTTGATTTCAAGCGGTCAGGGGCTTTTAAAAAGCCCCAAAGAAGGGAAGAAAAACCCCAATAGGGTTTTATCCCTGAAGTCCTTATGGAGGAGGTTTCCCTTTCCAAAAACAAAAAACTCCCCCCCTATCCCCTTCCTATCCCCATAACCCAACAACATCTTCAATAAAGGTATGTACGAAATATGTTTTAAATTGTTCATGTATTTATTTTTTTGTCCTCATTGTTTTGGTAGTAAAACATAATTAATCTCTAAAAAAAATATTTTTTTGTAAAATTTTGGTATCGGGAAACAATTAATTGTATTTACATTAATTCTTATGGGAATAATTATTTTGGTTATCGCCCTTTTGGTTTTAGGCCGGCCCTTTTGGAAAAGGGGTTACGCCGTAACCGGGGGGGGGCCCCCCGTCTTTAAACAATAAAGTACAGTATACAATACTGTACAGTACTGTACAGTATTTATTTTTGATAAACTGGGCCTTGTTGGGGGTTGAGCAGAATTAAAAGCAATTCATTTTAACAGCCAAATTTAAATTAAAAGTTAGAACATACGGATCTTTTTGTGACAAATTTATTCCCTAAATAAAAATCAATAGTACTTTGTGTCCTAACCTGGGGGGAGGCTAGCATGAACTTTGTAGAAAGTGATACTGTCTTTATTGTGCATTTTAAATTTTCCCGACAGCAATGACGCATAATTGTACAACACATACTGTTTATTTTTTGACCAAAAAAGCAAATAATTTACGAAGCACATAAATAAAATTTGCCTAAGTAAGAAACACAAATGTTTCTGGACCCTCCAAAAGTCAATAGTTTTCTGTTTTAGCACGATTTATTATCATCCAAGCTCTGCTTTCCCCATTTCCCCATGTCACTTCCTAAACCCCTTTTCCCCTTTTCCCATCATCTCATCTCCTTCTCTCTGCCCTTAGTTGAAGACCTTTTGGGGTTTTAACTTTCATAGATATCATAATCCGACTCACAGCTGTTCTCTCACCCAAACAAAATACCACAAATTACACTTAGAAAGGGCCATTACTTCCCACATACCAAAAAACATCAAAATTTTAAAATTTTTTCTAGAAGGAAAAAAGTACAGTACTTAAAATTTAAAGACCGGGGGCTTAAGTTTACTTACCTCATATCTGGATGCCCCCTAATCTGTGTGATTTCTGATCCTTGATCAATAACGCGTGAAAACCAAATCCACCAGCTTAACACCTGCATCAGAGAGTCACCCATCATCACCAAATTTTTGAGGGTGTAGAATGTACAAAAGTTTATTTGCATAGCACAGTACCCACAAAGTCAGTGTAAGGACCTTACAGTGGAACCTGGGGATACGACCACCCCTACTCGAACAAAGCGCAGCACTTTACCAAACAAAAAGCCTGCCAAACTTTCCCGAACTATTTTTATTTTTTTTTTTTGTATTTTTCGTTTAAAAAAGTCACCATAAGGCCTTTTTTGGGTAGTGATAACACCAACCAAAAAAAAATTGGTTTGGGGAAAACTTGTTTATACTCAAATGGAGCGGCACTCCAACAGCCTTTTGAATGAATTTAAGTATATACCAGGGGACATGTATTACAAAAACATATAAAAAAACTACTCATTTTTAATTTAAGTGCAAATATCTTTTGTTAAGAAAAATTTTTGCTAAAAATTTAGCAGCACAAAAGACTACAAAAGGGCCCCACTTCAAGAAGGGCCGAAATGTTAAAGGCCTTAATTTAAAGAATTGGAACTACCTTCTCTTTCCCAATACTGCAGACCCCCCAAGGGTTTTTTGGTTTGGGGGGAGGTGGAAAAAGAGGTTTTTTGTGTAAGGGGGTTGGACAGCAGCAGGCAATTGATGTTCACAAAAAATTTAATGGGGAACGAATGGTTTTGGGGCCTGACAAGCTTTTTTGGAGTGTGAGCAGGATAATATTTTTGAAGGGGTTCAGGGGAAAACATTAGCCAGACTTGAGTCCGGGGGTGGAATATAATGTCTGTACTTTAAAAAGGGAAGGTTTTTGGGGGTATTGGCATTTGGGGTGACATCTAAAAGTCGTATATTATGAGTGTCCGCAAAACACCTCTTTAAGGGGGGCTCCTTGGCGTGGGAAGAGCTCTTTTTTGAGAATTAAGCCCTGTGGGTCTTCTTCCTCAACCAAACCCTAATTCCCCCCCATTCTCCCCCCCCTATCCCTTCCCCCCCCTTTTTTCCTTTCCTCCCCTCCCCCCCACCCCTCCCTTTTGCCCTTCCTCTTTTTTGGCCTTGGGTTTTCTCCCACAGCCGCTAGTTCCTGGTGGGGAAAGGACACCGGGGCCCATCCCATTCCTTGGGGTTTTTTGGCGGGGGCGTAGTTTGCCGTGGAATCGGGATTCCCGGGGGATGCCCTTTCCCCCCGGTACCCGGGGATAGTTTGGGTGTCTTTGGGGGCGACGGGTGTATCTCGGAAGCCCCCTTTTGGGATTCCGGGGGTGGGGGCGAAGGAGGTAGTTTTGGGGCGGAACCCGGGCCCCGCCCTCTCTTTTGCCACCGGGGTAGCTCGGCAGTGTGGGGTTGCTACCCCGGATTGCGGGGTTTTACTGGCATAAAGGGGTAGGTAGGGCCCGGGTTCCTGCTGCATCTGCGCTACTAGCGGTTTTGGGGTCCTCTTGGGCGCAAAAAGGAGTTTGGCCCTTTCATTCCCCCCTGGGAAATTTCCTCCCCGCCCCCCCCTTTTTTTTCTTTTTTTTTTTTAATTTTCTTTCTTCTTTCTTTTTTTTTCTTAAAAACAAAAGCAAAGGAGTAACCTAACCATGGCAGCCCTACCATAAAACCCACTACCCCGGGCCCTTTTTGAACCGCACCCCTTCTGACCCTGCCTTGTGTTTAGACATTTTGGGGACACTCCTGATCCCCTGTACCTCTTGCTGGTGGGGTTTCCTCCCCCCTCCAGGTACCGGGGTTTTCGATGACTCCTTCGATTTGCCCTAACTCCGCCCCCTTTGACTAGCTTCCCTTCTCCCTTTCGGACGGCAATTTTCGAATCGCCCCCCTTTTCATGCCCCCCAAACTCCGTCCTACTCCTAAACCCCAAAGTCAATTGAGTGCCCTTCGTTACCCCCATTCTACTCGAAAAGACCGACCGTCAAGACTCCCTCTCCACGCTCGGTTTCGGACCACCAATGGACTAAATTCTTTACTTTAAGACCCTTCTTCCCCTCCTTTTCTGCCTTTAGTATTGCAAAAGCCTCCTGCGTCAGTTGGAGAGATATTTCTTTCAGCTTCAAGAGCGGTAGCGCACGTCACTGCCAGAATGTACCCAGCCAGATCTTTCTTCCTTTCAAATATCGATACAAACCCTTCACTTTTTAAAAAACATCTTTCTCTAATTCTTGAGTGGTATGTCATTCTGCCCCTACCAAGCCCAAAGAATTTCCAGTATGTGGAAATGAATTTTTGAACAGCTGGAACCCGGGATCCCCAACCCTCAAAGTAACATTTGTCCTTCC